CCCCCCCCCCCCCCCCCCCCCCCCCCCTTCCTCCGACCCCTTTCCCCGCCTGTGGGTCTTTGCTGGTACGACAACAAGCAACTCCAACCCATATTATAACTGCTGCAAGGTACTACTGATCATCTCCATATTAATAATAGGATTACTCTTAATACAAATAGACAGCTGCAGGGTGATTTGACTAAATGTGTGCAGTAAATCCAGCTGCTTTTTTTAAATTTAAATGGACAGAAACTGAGGAAGTGTTACATGCTGATGTATGGGAATGTTTTCAAGTACTCTGCCAGAACTGTAACAGCACTGCGATGTGTAGCATGTGACATGAAATTGAGATGAGAGATTCTGAAATATTCAGCAGTGTTGGAAATGATTACTCCTGAATGAAATAAGCGTATCGAATGATGATTTGCACTAATGTTGGCATGTTTTCTGACCAATCGTTGGCGTGGTCTTGTTGGACACTGCTGAAGAAGGTGACTAAAGTGAAAGAGAAAGCCAGTGAGGAAGCATTTACTTGTTTTGTGAGTCCCTCCTCTGAAGTTGAGGATATAGGAATCATTCCAGGTATTTTTATGTCTCTACAGCTCTCTGAGCTGGAGGTGACGTATTGTTTATTTACTGTGTAATCCCTTAAATATCAAGTGTCTCTTTTGAAAATGTATCAGATTTCTATTTAAACACTGAACATTACTGACTCAATGAATTCATCTTAACCAGTGAATGAAGCTACTGTGACCAAGTCACTCTGCAAACCTTTGTCAGTTGATATGACAGCTTTTTATGTAAAATATTTTTACGAGCTGCGTGGTGGACTGCACGTATTGCTAATCTTTTTCAGATTCCTGCAGTTTTCAACAGATGCTTAACGTGTTTTTTAAGTAATTTTTAAGATTTGGGAACACTGACACTTTGATTTTCCCATGACGTGTCAATTTTCTGTCATGGTTCAGAAAAATAATGCCTCCTTGATTGTATCGTTGTTGTAAATATGAGGCTTTTGATAAATCATATATCAGCTGCAGTTCTGTGTCTGACTGTAAACACTCCTCCAACAACAAAGACTCAACGGATCATGTAGACGATACTTTTATGACACCAGAGATGAGCTTTTAATGTGTCACTAACTAAGATCGGCCTTGTCGTTTTTCAGTCATTTATGGATAAAAAAGGAATTTGGCTCAATTCATGGTAATACAACTTTTTTGATATCATATCACCGACCTCAGCTTTCAAGTGTTGTTCTTTGTCCTGTTGGACCAAACTGGGCTTGGACCTTAAAAGTGCTCATTTTACATGTAACTCACTCACAAAATCATAAACTCTGAAACAAATCATAACTGAATTTTTTTGCCTCAGTGTTTTTACATTTTTACACTGGGAGACGCCAGAAACATTCAAATCTCACCTACACAAATGCTTTAAAGATAAAAAATACAATTCAGCTTGTGGTTGTTTTTGTGCACGAATTAAAAATGTAATCCCCTGAACAATCATTAATGTCTCTTTTAATCTAAGTCAGCAGTGCCTGACATTAAGTTTTGGCAGGCACACGACCATCAGACTGTCTGTAGAAAACTGTATGTGACCGGAGTGAACTACCTATTCTACCATTAAGTCACTGATAACTAGATAAGTAGCACTAGAGTTTATATTTCAAACATTCAGCACCAAAGACAGAACCCTGTCAACCAATATTGCTAATTGTATTATTTTGGTTTCTTTTGGTATTGTTTTTTTTTCAACCCCACTGTAAAAGCCATTCAGGGCTGTGTAATAATACACAGTAAAAAAGGGGGCAGCGTTGAATGTAGAAAAGTGGGAAAATGTATTTTACTAAATATGTGAGAGATACAAGCACTTAAATGGCAGGAAGAACACAAAAGGCTTGTATCGGCAGTTGCTCTGGATTGCAGCCTTTTTCAAGTTCTTCCTCGGGCACCATCAGGTTTATGCTGATGATGCGTCTCTAGAAATAGAGAAAAGGCAGGAAGTGACGTGATAAATACGTCATCGTATTGAGCATATCTTCTTTTATTTATTTATCTTTTTTGCCATATGGTCGCTATTGTTTTTACTCCTCAATAACAGCCCTGTGGTTCATGCAATTGTTTTATCAATGAAGACAGATGTTGACATGTCAGTGGGTGAGTTTAGCCCGCTTCCAGACCTAAAACACAAAATCTCTGATTTATTCAGAAATCCCAAAATAGATGGAATAAAATGTAATGAATTGAAATAGTAATCACTGTCATACTGATCAGTCTGGGGACATTTTGACAGGATGTGATGTCTGTGGTCAAAATCAAACCTGTGACCTCTTCATTATAGACAGCCTCAATGTTGACCAACGTTCATACCGCTCTTCCTCCCTCAGTCTCACTCTAACTCGCAACTAAAGAAATACAGCTTCCATCAGACGTGTGAATCATAAAATGCTTTAATGTTCTTTCGAGGCTCAGTAGAAGTAATCATGGGGATCACCACCACCGTGGCTCGTCCATAAAAGAAAGTGCCCTTAAATAAATCAAAAGTAATGTTGAACAAGTTCAGGCAGTGACACTGACAGACAGACGGGATGCATAGAGACTCGATGGAACAGACATAATAGAAAATGACACACTGAGCAAAACCTGAATAACTACAAACAATGTTGATGTGACGTTGATCTCTTTTGGCACCAACTATGAAGTCATGTAGTTCACCATTACACTGATACGCTTAATAAACCACACACAGATACATGTTTTTCTGATAATAGAAAAAGAGATTTACAAATAGTTGTTTTTTTTTTTATCAGCAATATCTGTCCCCAGACGTTTTCAAAACAGACATTTTTTTTCAAACACAACAAAATTTGAAAAACCTGACAGTGATGTCAATAGCAGTTTTTCTGGCAGTTTTCATTTTGGAAGTTCAAATTTCTTAAGTGCAAGCTTTGACTGTACTTACCCAAAATATAGAGCTTGCAATCTGACGACACACACAAATCTGATTAAATCATCAAATAAATAATCAAAATAAATAACCACAAACAAGATAAACAACCAAGGATATGTGTTTTCCAGGAAAATACTTGCAGTCGCTTTCCCTTCACTGTAAAGTATGTCATTTTCTTTTCAATCTTTTGAAGTATTCATGCTTGGTTTAATGTGATCTGCCTGTTTTACTCCTGATCTCCCTTCATGCTATTTCTGTCAAAGACAAACTGGATTCATAACTTTCAACTCACTCCATCACTTCAAAATAAAACTTCCCCTTTTTTTGTCCTAACTGGTCATGTTTCTAAACTGGTGACCTGAAACCCAAAAGGAGCTCATGAGACGTCCTGTCTAGGGTGCAAACATAGAACTATTCATATTTCGGGTTACTGTCATTGTGTTGGTCAACCTACCATTTCAACTTCCTTTCACTCAACAACACAATCCTTCAAAACTCTTTAACTTCAATTTCCTTAACTACTTGCGTTTACATCCGTTATCTTTGTTCTTGAATTCAAAGTTTCTTCTCATCTGTCCAAAGTCTGGACTGCGTAGGCTTTGATAATCTGACCCACACTTGCACCCAACATCCTGGAAACGCTGGTTTAAGTAAACAAGTGCACAACAGCGGCAAAGAAGGGAAGTAAAAGTGAATTCAGCCTTCTGTCCTACGTCGCTCTCCCTCCTTGCACAAACACTCAGCTGTCATGCCTCAGTTTGCAGATCTGCAACACAATTATGTCCTCAGTTTTACTAGTTTTTCATACTTTACACGGCTCATCTATATAAAAAATGAGGCCCAAAAGCCTTTTCCAGTTTAATCCTTCGCCATTCCCTTTACCCTACCATCTCAAATCTGACTTTTATTACTGCTGTCATGACAAAAATAGAAATAAATAAAACAAAAATGTCTTTTTCCTAACAGTGACTAAATGGTCAGTGTTACATACACAGCAGATTCATCAGTGCAGTGGACAGCTTTTGAACCGTGCGTCCGCTCTGCGAGTGGACACCAACGACACATGATTTGTCACGGGCCCTTTGCTGTGGAGATAAAACGCGTTTTTAAAGAAAGGATTTTAGCACAGATTGTAAGTTATCAGTCCTACGACAGGCCCATCCTCATCCCTGCACGACCAACCAGGCCCAGAGTTCAGGTCTACGAGCTGATGATCTGGCCAGACCAGGTCTCGTGTTTCGTCCCTGGGTTGAGATGTATGATCTTCACCTCCACCGCCTGCACCTTCAGGTTCTTGGGAGGGACCCGGCTCACTTTGTACGTGACCTCGTCGCCCTCTACTGGTACGTACTCCCCCTCGATGCTGAAAGAGAGCAAAAGTAGAGTGATGAACTATGAGTAAAAATGAGTCTTGCTTCGTACTGTCTTGGTATATAGATGTACAGACAAAATGTAAACACCAGCTCAACAAACAGGATACAATGTCTTAATTACTGAGCCTTAGAAGTGCTAGTAGGCGTAATTTTACAAACTTGCTTTTGCTGAGGCTGTAGTAACATTTGGCATACAGCTTGTGCTGAACAAAGAGATAACTACAGACTGCTGTACTCTCTGTGCATGTCCCTGTATTTCAGGTGTCAGAGTCTGCTGAGTCCTTGCAGTCCAGTGAGTTGACGCTGCAGTTCTGCAGTAAGTCTGTGCTGCTTCTTGTAATTCCGCTAATGCCGCGGCGTGTTTGCCTGCTATGAATCTCAGAGGCGACCGCTGTAAAATCTGTATGATTCTATCATATAAGAGTGTGTTAAGTGTTCTTGCCACTCACTCTGAGATGTGAACAAAGATTTCTTCGCCACCGTGGGAGGGTCGGAGGAAGCCGTGACCTTGTGACCTGGAGAAGTTCTTACACACGCCCTTAAACACGGGACCTGATTGAGCACGTACCGTACTGCAGACAAAGAGAGGAAAACAATAAAGTCATAAGCATAAAATCATCAAACATCACTAACGTAACTTTGGGACACAAACACCGGTCTCGAAAACACCAGTCTCCTGGTTGTAAGTCCTATGTTTGCTTGTTTGACCATCCGCAACCTCCACCCCCTCTTACCCTGTGTGGGTTTTATTTGGTCTTTATACCAAGTCATCACACTCGCGGACTATTGACCCTGAGCATCTACAGGGGTGGGTTTATATTATAGTTACTTGAAATCCCGGTGCATCTCTTACAGACGCTAGGTCCCTTGTGCGTCAGTATTAGGCACCTAGGGGCGTGACAAAGCGTCGGTATTTGACGCCCTATATGAGAACGGGCTAATTGCACATTAGCATTAAGTGCTTTGAACCCATTATTAGTTCTGGTTTGCTGGCTACAGGGACTTAAAGCTTTACTATATTTAGTGGCGTAAAAAAAAATATGTTCTCTGAAATGTAGTGAAGTTTAAATGAAATGGAAAAACTCAAATGTGTGTGTTTGTTAAATGTCTTCTCTCCACCACATTGGTGAATAAACTATACTTACGCTGAGTAGGTGCGGTTGCGTTTGGTTGGCAACGGGCTGGGCAAATCCCGTGGCAGCGGCTGCTCTTTGCCCTCCCATATACGGCTCCTCTCCCTCAGGAAGGGGAAGGAGAGGCTGAGGGAGGTGTTGGGGGAGCGCAGCGGGATCCTAGAGGGCGACGTGAGGCCGGGGTCTGCCATGTCAGAAGTGACAGAGGGACGAGGAAGATGAGAGGAGGATGGTGTGGATGCAGTGTTGGACGCTGCTGCTGACACAGGCGTCTGTCCGCTGGTCTATCTGTGAGTCCTTCTGCTTGGAGAGGCCTGCCTCAGTGTGGGACAAGAGGCACAGCCGCTATCCAGGTCAGGGCTGTCACTTCAAGTCTGTCAGGATGCCAGGCTGTGAAGAGAAAGATGACAGGGAGAGAATGGATGAGGATCAGAGAGTTGTCATGTGGCTTTAGACCTGATGGGGGAAAGGGGGGACGGGAGGGGGACGGGAGAGGTCATCCAGCCGAGAATAGGTCTGTTCAAGTCAGAAACATCATACAAATATGGGACATGTGAGGTTCCTTTCGTCTAGGAATATATTGTTTTACCATTACATGTCCAATTCATGTTATTAGATAAAAATCCTTCCACGAACGAAATAGATGTTGAGGTGACGCCTCCTCAGTCAATTGTCAAGTCCTTTAAATCAAGTCCCTTCTTTAAAGGGGCATTCCTGTGATTATCTTGTATCCTAAAGTTGGGGAGCTTGCTCTGCATATATTTTAATAAGAATTATCAAAATAATATGGCTCCAAAATGGCAGATCCCACACTTCCCATGATGCAGATCAATTGCATGTTTTCATCTCGAAAACACACACACACACACACACACACCTGAGATACCCCGATGACATCATTAGGGTTATTATCTCTGATTTGACAAAAAAACAACCACTGAAGACTTTACACTGTATGTATGGGATGTAAAATTGGTGGAGTGCCCCTTTAAATCCAGCCCCAAATTGAATGCAAAAAACACCCATTTTCTTTTTGTCACCTGGAGCCTTTGAATGTTTCCTTCAGCTCTGTTGGTAACAAACTGCATTTCCGGGCAATCCCCCGTGATTATTATACGACAGGGTTTCTAGTTGAAGCTGCCCAAAGCATCGTATGAATACATGTGGAGATTCAATTTTCATATCTACTCGACTTGCATTCCCGCTCTTCAGTGTGTTACAGAGCACCATCATTGCGGTGTATACTCAATAGATAGAGTAACACAGTGTGCTCTTAATCCAGTCTCCATTTCGGGAGAATTGGGGAATTATTCCTCTGTCCATCTGTGTTGATCATCATTCCCTAATACTAAAATCCGCAACATATCGTGTAAGGTGACCTTGCCCTTCAATAACTCCTAATCCGGTTTTTCCCCCACTGTGATATTTTCAAGGTTAGAATAATAGGCAACTGACTGATCTCCTGTCAGCACTATAAAGGGTGAATTCCCCCCCAAAAAACCCATTAACGCAGTCCGGACAACAAACATCGTGTCGTTTTCCATATACCAGCCTACGTGTTTTTTACGCCCACTCTTCTCGTCTGTAATGATGCAGGCCGAGCTCGTGACGTCAGAACAGCTGCAGAACACCGCCTCCAGTGGTGCGTTCGTGACGTCGGTGCCCCGTTCCCAAATGAACAATTGCACATCCTACAGGAGTACTACAATCCTAATGTCACGGCGTTACCACAGGGAACGTTACAAAGAGGTCTACGCGATCAATACCGGACTGTTTCATGATGAGAAACTACTTTGAGAGCGACTCAAGAGTTCAAAGACACCAGCAGGTGAACATCTGGATGTGCAGAAATTAAGCCACAGAGGGTCATGTCCCTGTTCCATGATTATCCAAAGGCAGTGTGTATATGAAATGTGTGTTTGTGGAGTTCAATTGAAGTCATACACTTCTCTTATACCTCAGAGAACCACCATAAAATCCCATATTTTATTCATTTGCTTTTCCCTCCTATTTTAGCCTATCTAGTAAAAAACTTCAATAAATGAATACCAAATTGACAGTCCTAATGATATCCGCAATTTGTCAAAAACGTGTGAAAGGTGTGGGGGGGGGGAGAAACCCGTCGATGCTATTTGATAGTATACAACGTGGACAAAAGCAGGGTGAGAGGTCCGTTCATTGAGACCAGCTGACGGTCAAATATGGTGGAGATGTTACACCGACCAGTGCTCCATACAATCACAGATGAATACAGCTCATGATAAAAGCTGTCTCAATTATTCAGCGGTTGTTCCGTCGAGCATGCACAGAATACATTGTCCCGATCCCAAAACAAAGCCACACTGGCACACTCCCCCCTCTGCACGGACTCAGCATATATTCACAGAAATGTTACTTACTGCTATGGGTTGAGGACGATCCGCGTGTGTGAGTGAGTGCCTTAAGTCGGTGTGTATTATATAACGAGTTATTAAATAAATAAGTCGACTAAATCAGCGCAGTCCGACGGAGAACCCTGATGTGACGATGTGAGGGGCTGCCGAGTCTGCGCAGCTGGCGGAGATTCCGATGGCGTGATGCGACTCTGTGAGCGCGCGCGTGTGTGTGTGTAGAAAGGGACTTTCTTCCTTCCTTGTCATGTGTGTAATTTGTTGAGGGAACAGTGGTTTCAGTGGGTCAGAGGTATTATTTGTTTTTAACATGATTTAAACAACAACAAAAAGTCCCTGTTTACGCAGCTGTTCTTGTGCTGCTCTATTATAAAGGGTGTTTTATGGGACTGGACTCCAGTGATGCAATGGATTTTACATTTTATCTTTCATCACATAAACATGCCAGCAAAAAAATAATAAAAATACTGTAAATGTCTAATGCTGGCATGTGTATGTGATGAGAGATCAAATGTAAAGCTAAGCTAAGCTTGCTGTATAGGCAATATTTCTGCAAGGAGGTTCACATGCAAACCATGTATTTGTGTTGGTATAAACTCTGTACAGTCTGACCTAGTTTCACAACAACCAACTGAGACAAACATCTACTTGTCACATGAAACACCCCCCCCCACCCACACACACACACACACACACACACACACTGCATGTCTGATTGTACATCAAACACAAGTGTGTGGGTTGCTAAACTAACACTGACTGACATTAAGAGTGGGCAGAGCAGCTCTGTTAGAAACAAGCAGGATTGTGGCCTTCAAACGGAGGGATTGAAAGGCTGGCCGCTAATCCGTTTTCTGATACACTTCCTATAATCACACTCATGACAAATCACAACCACTCACGCTGATGATACATCCTTTTACTGGCAGGCAAAACAGCAACAAACTAGTACAAGGCTGTTTCATAAACTGAGGAAGCGAGCACAAAAACCTGTTTGAGGTAACATTTGAAATAAAAAGTTAATATTTTAAAATTGAAAATTATTATTTACTGTAGCAATGTTACCTTTGTTTGAATCTTGATACAAACGCGGTATAATTTGTCCCGTGGGTCTAATTTTTATGAACAAAAGTATCACTCATCCTTATTTCTCTCCTCTTTAACCTCGAGTGTCCGTAAGCTCTCAGGCATCATTAGGCACCAACTTTATTCATCCCTGATAAGTGCTGTTCAGTGTTCAACAGCACCTACTTTGACCCATTAAGTCAGATTTTGTGACCTGTGTATGTCCGACTATCATACTAAAGTAGTGATGCCATTATGATTCAAATAATTAAAAGACATAATACATGTTTTCCTTTGAATTGGGGGGTTAATTTGCATGTGAAATACACGAAATGAGCATAAATGTCAATCAAATGATTCCGTTTTGAAATACACGGTCAACTTCACATGTCGACACGGAGCTGGTATGTTCAGGGCATTATTTACAACACAATCAAGTCTCAACGTGGCGGAGCACATCAGTCACTTTACACCAACAGCATCTTGGTTCAGAGAGCTCCACTTTGATGCCTCCACTTCTGTATCCAAACCAGTGGTTTCTGGGTCTCCAGCCGGCCGTCCTCCGCCTCTCCGATCGGTCACGCTGACCGAGCTGTTCGTAACCACCAAATGTCCTCCTTCCTCCGCTGCAGTGCTAACTGTTCCACCACGACAGCAGCCCCAGCCCCGGGTCGCAGATGGTCCCCTGGAACAACAGCACAATGGGTGAGGATGGACGTGAAGCTACTTTTGTATTAAAAAGTGTGCCCCTTGACTGGGACACAATGGAGTTTGGTTAACATTAGTGAGAAAACCCAACTTCAAAATACAAAGAGTCTGATACAGTCACAATTCCGACTGAATTTCCCGCTTTATCAGAAACACAGTTGAGAAGTTTTCCCATGAAGAGGTCTCCTGGTGATGTAAATGTGTGTTAGTCATGAGGCGTTTTCTTACAATCAGAGTGTACGGTGACTCTTTCTTCTCCTCGGTGGCCTCCGCTGGCGGAGCCGTCGACTGTCCCGGTTGTGCCGGCGTTTCCGTCGCTGCGGCGGCCGGGCCCGTCGGCGAGGTGTCTACAAAGACTTCATCCGTCACCCGAAAACGGATCTCCTCCCCTTGGTCCATGTAGAGGTCGTGGGCCCCCTCGTCCGTCTCGTATTCCCAGAGCCAGACCTGCTCCGCTTCATCGCTGAGGCTGGAGCTAAGGACGGCTCGGCTGCTACTTAAGCTACAGTCACAATCAATTCTAGATCAGAGTCTACATAGTAGAGCGATGTGATGCACATGGCAAAAGTGTTCTGAAGATACAAATCACAGCTCTTCGTTTATAGGAACATTTTCTGTCAGGATACAATTTGGCGGGCTGCTGAAGAGACTCTGGTGGAATGAGAATGTCGTCAAAGAAGCCCATCGTCACTGTGAAACAGAAAGGTGACGGTCTTACCACAGAGCTTCTGTGTCTTCTGGTGCACGTATAAGCAGAGACATGGGAGCCTTCAGGCCAAATGCTTTTTAATACATACAGCAGATCTCGTTATCGTTCCAACATTCAAGTTATATTGTATAAAAAGTCACATGGGCTGTAGACAGCAAGCGGAGGACAGCGACATGTGACTTTGGTACCAGAGGTGAGAAAAAGGAAGTGGACGAAAAAAAAAACTGTAAACCTCTCAGATCCTAAAAGGACTCTTCTCAGGGATTTATTAAAACTCATGTAAGTGGAATAGTGAAGATTTAAACTACAGCACTAAAATATGTCAAAAATAAATCAATAAACAACGCGGATATACAATGTTATCTGCTAGAGCTGACTAATTACTAATTTACTTGAATCTATTATTTAGAAACAAACAACTGAATGAATCAATTAGGAGATCTACAGAAAACGTCTCGACAACTATTCTGACAGTCAATTGTTTATTTGTCATATTTTTTATTTCCAGCTTCTCCTATGAGAGGATTTGCTGCTTCTCTCTGTTTTAAAGTATTGCAAATTCAATATCTTTGGGCTTTGGACTGTAGGTCGAACAAAACAAGATGTTAAGTCGCCTTGAGCATTGAGAAATAATCAGATAACACATTTCTGGAGATTGAATCAAATATGCGGAGATGGAAAGACAGAAGTTACCGTGAACTCCCTCTTGACTGCAGTACTTGATCTTGCCGAGCAGGATCTCATCGAGAAAAGGGTGAAAGACAACGTACCTGAAATGAACTGAAAGAAAAACCAAAAGGAAGATGGGAACCGTTCAGCGGGCGAGAGTTAGGTGAAGTCGTTCACAGCAGATACACCGTTCATCAACCCTCCCTTTAACAATAAACTATGTCCTACAGGAGTTTACTCTTAGCAGGGCTGACCAGAACACCGAGAGATCAAATTTATCATAAACAAATTAAAACTACAAAACTAAGTGGGAGGACTGGCGTTGCAAAATGTGGCAATGCGTCTGCAATCTAAAGCTGTAGTGAAAATACAGTACATGAAGAAATGAGAGAGGCTCATCATACCTTTAGTGTGTGAGGCTCCGTCCCCGGGGAATATATAGGAGTCCTCCAGTTTAGTGATGTCGAACAAGCAGATGCACAGGCCGACGTTGAAGACCACCTGAGGGAAAGAAAGGAGGTCAGAGTAATGCAGACACACTGAAATTACAATATTCCACACAAGTGCAGACTTTCAATAAGCAAAACTGCCTTTTTCTGCTTAACTTTAACATAAAATACATACAGTGCAGAATAACTCGCATACTCAGTCAAAAATACATATTTTTCAAAATAACCCACAGACCTTAACTGCTCACAATAAGGTCTGTGGGTTATCTTGAGTAACTGGGTCATGATTTCAGGAAGGAGACATTGTTGTTGAGTTTCTAACAGCAGTGTGCCACATAGATCCATTATATCCCAAAGACAGCAGACCGATATCTCCAAAATTATGCAACTCACACCAAAACAATCTCAACTGATAAATAGCACTACAGGTAAAATATGTATTTTTGGGGTGAACTGTCCCTTTAAGTCTCCAATGATACACGTGGTGGAAGATACAGAACATAAAAAGTAAACTGAAGAACAATCATCAGTCGTATGGATGTAGGATTGACTTCAGCGTTAAGTGTGAATGGAATTCATTACAGTCCTTTAATATCCGACAGCCTCCTCTCACATTGGATGCATTGAACCTCTTCATTGTGTAACCTGTTCTGTGATTGTTTCTGATGCTGTTTGTTTGTGATAGTGAGTCTGTGTTTTCTCGTTGTCTGTCTCCATTATTGTGCTTATTTCTCCTGCTGCACTTAGGAGATGGCTTCATTAAATAAAGGTAATAGTGATAAAGTTTAGTTTTTTTTACAGTTAACTGTTGTAAATCGAGCCGAAGTCACGCTCACGCGCACACGCGCACCTTGTTGGCCAGTTTCTTGTTCAGCTCCTCCACTATGGCCTCGTTGAGTTGTCTCTGGAAGTTCCACGGAAGGATCCTGACAGTGTCGACCATCTCCACCAACACGAACATGCTGCAGACCGTGAGCAGGTACACGCACACACAAACGCACACGCTGCGGAGAAACGACTGAACGGAGCTGTCAGTTGAGCTGCGGGGTGTCTCCTACTGTCGGGACAGCATTTCCTCTTTTTCTGCAGAGATGTGATCAAATCAAAATTTCGACAATTGTTCACAATCTAGCTAAAGACACCAATAAAAGTGTAATAACCTACGGCAAACTCAAACGCATCCATGATGTCTCCACGTGATGGTTTACGACAATGCGTTTTTACGACTTGTCGCAAAACTTAAAGCTACAGTGCACAATTTTGAAGCTCTATTATAGTGTATAATTATTGATATGTGATCATTTGTAATAGTATTACCATAACGTGCCATTTGGTTTCTATACTTTTTACAGATAAAATATATATATATAAAAAAAGATAGATATCTTATAAAAATATATGATTAGCCAAATGGATGCAAACGTTCTGATGCAAACCCTTTATTTTCTGTTTTCAAAGGAATGTGACCTTTATGTCACAACTGTTCAATTCTCTGTTAACAAAATGCCATTAAAAACTTTATCTGGAGGAAATAAACACATCCATCCCATAATGACATGAACGATTACATACATCTAGTATGATATTTCGTACTGTGTAAACACAGTGAAAATATCAAATACTTATTTTTCTGATCTGAATTACTAAAATCACAAACTTAGTTTATGTATAGCCTAAATATTTCCAGGGTATTGCATACATATTTCCTTATGTTTGATGTTTTGACACTGCAAGTGACAGATGAACGTTACCATAATAGAAATATAGTTGATATAATGAACGTGAGGATCACAGGCTGTTGGAGTTCTTAAGAAGCACACGAGGGCCGCAACAAACACCTGAAGCAAACTCCTCCTCAGCTGCTAGAAGCCTGTAACACTACATGACTGACAATCACAGGAGCTTAGTATTCATTTCATTGAGCAAATAAAACCACAAATACATTCACTTCACAACTTTATCTTTATTAATTTACTGGTTATTTTGTTAATGTCAAGATATTTTCAACCTCTCAAGCAATACAACGGCAGGCTTTTGAATCATCGACTTTTAAAAAGTTGAATGCTGAAACCGGAGTGTGAGGGGAATCATCACTGTAATAAAACAGATGTTCATATTCCATATTTATTTGCTGTATCTGAACAAGTGAAGCATGTTGTAAAATTGTCTTTACACACATCAGAGGAAGCCAAACAGAGCACACCCGAGTACAAAATGACACAATAGGCATGCCTTCATGAACACCATTTGATTTGTCACTCTACAGTAGCGCTTTCTAAAACTCGTGAACATCAAAGCATCATCGTACATCACAGAATGAGCAAACTGCTTCACACGCCGCTGTTTTTAAATGTGCTGACGGAGGACGAAGGATGATTAAACGAATCAGTACTTTTTAAGATGTTTTACCGATAAACATTGATCCTGGTGAATTCTATAGGTAACAACACTCTGTACGTCATCAGATAATTATACACACTGCGATTTGTATGAAAGATCACATAATAATGGCTGATTTCTCAAACACAACTAACCATTACTTCTCAACATGTCAGTGTTTCCATCAGGCATCTTTGGCAGTAAATCTGATACAGTGATGAGTGTTTAACCATCAAAGTGATGGGTTTTAAAGAGGGCATGAACACATGATGATTCTCAAAATGTTGAATTTATGAACAGATAACCCCTTCACGTTCTCATTCATGTCCAAAACGTCTTTAACGGCTGCTGCTGTTTCTAATCACCTCTGTCCCTGAAAATGATTTGAACAAAACGATTGCGAAATATACACAAAGCAACCAAGAGTCACCTACCTAGGGATTACAAGCCCCGTTTCACCGTAGAAGCCCAGTAGCAACCGAAAGCTACAATCCAGTACCTGTGCTTTAACTTCACCCACAACTTTGTGAAACCATTAGGTCAATGAAGACCACAGAGGGGACACTATTTCATGACGTTATGTCACAAGTCGTCACAAACAGAGTTAACAGCTCTCACTTAGACAGGCAGCACACAGCATGTTACTTGCTCTCTCATTCTCTTTATTTATATATCTATATAATGATTTTATCATTTCTGTACACACCCCTATACAAAGTGCAGCTATATATATATCACATCATTTACACACAGGTCCAAACTCTTTTTTAGTACATCGGGATTTAACTCAGTAACTGTAATTATCAACCTAAAGCGAAGTCTTCGTAGACTGAACAATGAAGAAGTGACGGATTTAAAGACTCTCCAAGAGCTAAACAGCGTAATCCCACGCAAAACATAACAATGACCTCAAACATCCCCAAGCCCACACAAATATATAACCAGACTGTTTCAGTGGCGCATACTAGGTCTACATCATGGCAAGACTTAACACAAGAATGATGTTGAATACGTTTCTACAGTCTCAAAACTTGTGTATCAATTAAAGGACATTACAAGTTGTAAGACAGAGATGAGCGCTGAAGGGTAAAATGTTTGCAGAGACTAAAGGAAGCACAGCTAACACTACTTTCCTAACTCTACAAAGTGCTAGTGTACAGGCATCTGGACACTAGATTGTGTGTAAGAAGACAGCAGGCCTCCTCATGCTATGGAGGGCCGAACCTCATCCTGAAGAAAAACATTCAATGCCAAGACAAACACATCATCTCCCATTGCAGCTACACGAGGCAATTTCACACGCTGGCAACTCCAAGATGATAGTGAGGACAAACAGAAAAACTTTAACACAGCGAAACCACAACAACATAACGTCTATGAAGCTTCGTTCCAGAGGATTTCATTGGGACGACGAGACTAAAGACAGACTATCAAAGAGAAGAGCTTTCTCTGGACATTGCAGCGGACTTTTTGCGACGCTGTTATGCTGCAATTTCTATGGGCACAGAAGAGTTCCTGTGTCTATATGCTACACCAGAATGTACATTAAAAATGTTGCTTCAATTTCTAGCAACACAAATTTGATTATAGCTCATGTCCCCAAACATTTCAGGTTGTGGTTTAGACTGCAGCAGCCTGGTGAGATCAACGAGAGAGACAGAATGAGCTAAGAGGGACACACAGATGCAAACACAGACCGATGTTACCCAATAAAAACAACCATGCATAACACACACACACACACACACACACACACACACACACACACACACACGGAAAGAAAAAGAAATAGCAAGGCTAGCACTAACACAATGGCAGTATGTGTTGTGGTTGGGTGTCCTAGTCCCAAGTTGTCACACAGTGGGGTGTTATATCATACAAAAAGACAATGAGAACGAGCAAGCAACCAATGGAAGAGCAGCGGGGAGTGAACGCAGATTCGCATGTTGGCCGAAATGTAGCAGTCTGGGAAAGTAAAAAGTGCAGCAGCAGCATGAAAAACACAAGGGCTCAGACTGAGTGATGCAGACTGGACTCCAATGACAGTACAGGGGCTGATGGGATTTCAAGGATACTGCGCTACAGTAAATAAGTGTGCCTGGTAGAGTGTTTACAGTGTGGCTCCAAACTACAATAAGCAAGGGAACGCTTGTTTAAGTCAATAATGGCAATTCTAGCAGCTTTCTACAGGAGGACAATGAAAGACGACTAGTGGAGTTCATCACCATGTGGTGCATTGTAATGATAGAGAGCATGTGGGAGAGATGTTCTGGAGGAAATGAAGGAAAAGAACATTCATGCGAGTTGAACACAGTGAGCTTATTAAGCTGTTTGGATGGAAACTATTTTGGAGACAAACGGTTCATTTAACTTTATTAATTCAGGGCCTTAATCAGGTTTGTATACTGCTGGATACGGACATTAAAGGGTGTATATAGTGTAGCTGATAATGAATCATGCTTTATGTTAATGCTTCCACCAGCCTGTATTTACACATAATTTGGAGAATAAGTGCTACGTTTGATAGAGAAAGATGAGCGTCTGTGTATGAATCAGCTGAACGCTGCAGGGAAACACTCAATGAACAACTAAGTGCTGCCGGTGAAAACGATGCTGCCTATTAAAGACGCACACTGCTAAGCTTCGATTATGTGCGACCGTTTGAGGGCGTTTGTGTGATTCGTCGGGGAGAGCTTTCACAGTAATCCTGTCTGTGCATGTACGCGCTCGTGTGTGTGTGTGTGTGCGCTTTTCATCTGTACAGCGACCTTGTGTGTGTGTGTGTGTGTTGTCTTTAACTGAGCATGACTACAGCGTTCCTCTAAAACCAACGTTAACATGAACAAGTCTGGTTACCATCTACCGTTCACATTGTCTCTTCCTGTTTGCAAAGCCCCCCCTCTCTCTCGGCCCATATTTCTCCCCTTCTTAACCCACGCCAAGGCCCCTCAGCGGCCCCTACAGGCCCCACCTCCCTCCTCTCCACCAATTACTGGAGCTCCTTCATCCTGTTGAGAGCGGAGCCGGCCTTGAACCACTCGATCTGCGTCTCATTGAAGGTGTGGTTTAGAGTGATGGACTCCTGGCTGCCATCGCTGTGCTTGACTACTGCCGTCAGGGCCTGGAGGTAGGAGGCAACCGAGATCATGTGTCAAACATTTATCCTGTTTATCTTCAACGTAATGTTAAGAGAAGCTCGGCTGTCCTTTGGATCGGTGTTTCATTAGTGCAGAATATTCCTCACCTTGCCGGGAACAAGGGTTTGCAGCCCATTGATTGAAATCTTATCATCGGGGCGAATTTTGTCGTAGTCGTGGGGCTCGGCAAAAGTCAGAGGCAGCAGGCCCTGCTTCTTCAGATTAGTCTCTGGGGAGGAAAAAGAAAACAGATGGAAAAATGAGACGTAACGGCAACACGCCGGCTCACACTGTACTTCCATCAGGTAACCAGAGAAGGGCTCCTCGTCTGTCAGTATATCGGTTACACAGAAATACAAGGTCACGGAGATTAAAGCATGCGTCTCCAGTTCTCATGATGAATTAGCTGTTCCATTTACACAGAATTCATGTGATTGGAAATGTTATTAGTCAAGACCAAATTATGTTGAAAGCTTTGTAGACAGACATGCAAACTATCAACTACATGCAACAGCATTTATTTGATTGTTTTTCTGGTTCTGAGGAACTCCAGTAATAAACTGGCCCTAATGGACTGCAAGTATAACTTGGAGACTCTCATAGACACTCCTTATTCTGGCAGACTGTAAACATGCCAGACTAAATAATCATCAGCTTGCTCTGGAACCCAAACATACAGATTAAGATATTGCTGCCCTGTTGCCTCTACATGTGTGTAGATGTATGGGTAGCTAGAATTCCCGCCTTTCAATTGTATGCCTCCGCCCAAACAGTCAAGTTGTAGTTTACATCCGCGTCTGCCCAAAATGTGATCAATTCCTCATTTTATTCTTTTAGACATTGGTGTGAAATTGTCATCACTAGCATATGAATTCTTGAGTTATGGCCAAAAATGTGTTTAGTGACCTTTGACCACCAGATTCTAATCACTTCATCCGTAAGTAGATGTTTGTGCTAGATCTACTGAAAGTCCGTCCAGAGATATTGCGTTCACGAGACAGGAACGAAAGGACTACCCCAGAACATCGCGCCACAGACTCATAATAGAATTGCACGTGGCTGCAGTGATGCAGATGATGTTTGCATGTTTTCTCTTTCTGTGCTCTGAAACTTACCGTGGATTCTGGCAAAGCTTTTGACGATAATGGCGCGTCCTCCAAGGTGTCGTGGTTCTAGGGCAGCGTGCTCTCTACTGGATCCTTCTCCGTAGTTCTCATCTCCAACCACCACCCAGTTCACTCCATTGGCCTGGATTATACAGTTAAACAAAGACAAAGAAAACATTTTAACTGCTGTCAGGACGAGGACAGAGAAGACAAGTAAAGTCCCATGGAGGAGATATGTTGCTGGAACTAACGCGGTCTAAAACAACAGTCCTGCAGTAGATCAAGCCTTCGTATAGGTTCACGGTTATAAAGTTCAGTTCATCAACGCACTCGGCCCATCACACTCACCTTGTAGTGGCGGGCCACATCAGGCACACCTCCGAACTCTCCCGTCAGCAGGTTCTTCACCTTGTTGATGCCGTCATTGTCAATGTTGACTGCACCAATCAGCATATTGTTGGAGATGTTGTCCAGGTGACCGCGGAATTTCAGCCAGGGCCCAGCAGCGCTGATGTGGTCAGTGGTGCACTTTCCCTTCACCTACACCAGCGGAGGAAAAGAGAGGACAGGAAGTTAAGTAACAGATAAGAAACAACGGCTGTTACACACAACATTTAAATAATTCAGTGGAGTTTTAAACAGCGTTGTGAAAGAATGAGCTAAAACATGATAATGTAATATAATATAATATAATATAATATAAGTCTTGTAATCTGCACTAGTCCACCACAACTTTCCTTCCATTTCACTGCTCACCTTGATGAGGATCCTCATGTCCTCCATGTCTTTTCCGTGCCACCTGTCGAAGGGCTCCAGAAGCTGCAGACGGTTGCTGGAGGGGCTCACGTTCACCTGAACAACATCAAATCAGAGAAAGATGTAAATGTTCTTCCTAGAATATTTTCAAAGGATAGTGGGGCGGACAACTTCCAGATCAAACTGAGTTTTATTTATACACCAACAAAAATGTTTGTCTTTTTCTGTCTAGACAACGGTCACATTACAAATTTTCTGTCAAAACAAGCCTTGATCACACTGTTTCTTGTGCTGGTTCAAACTCAGCTCACTAAAAGGCTGTTTATAATATAATAGTTGGGATCAGATACTGCATCTTTAAAAAAATATATAAAATCAAAAATACCGTTACTGAGGTGCCTTCGGCGGGGGGGTACTGGTAGGTGTCCTGGCCCGGGTCGAAGTCTTTTGAGGGGAGCTCGTCACCGGAGGGGGCTTCCAGCTTGAACTTCTCTCCATTCGGAGCGGTCAGGTAGTCGGTCTCTGGGTCGAAGTCGAGGGTCCCGGCGATCGCCATGGCAGTGACGATCTACATTGAATTACAGAAAAGGCATTTAGGGTGAGCAAATGTCAAAGCCATCGAGGGAAACTCAAATAAGAATGTCATTGTCAAGTCCTCCACACAGCCACTATGCTGTATGCATGAGCTACTGTAAGCCTGTCTATTGAATCGCTGAGCTTGTTGTTGTTTTTTTGCTTGGTGTTCAACCTTTAGTACTTCTTACCTCAGGAGAGGTGACAAAAGCATGGGTAGCTGGGTTAGCGTCGTTCCTAGCGGTGAAGTTCCTGTTGTAGGACGTGACAATTGTATTCTTCTCTCCTTTTTTCACATCCTTCCTGAAGAAAGTGAAAACACAGAGCATGTTAGTCTGATGCATTGTGTCGAACCTACATCACTCAGAGGAATTCTTTTGTTTGATCTTTGATACTTTTGTGCAGTGAGCTACCTGTTTCATATCGGTTTACAAGACTAAAAGTCTACCGGCCTGCTACTGGACTACAGTGTACATTACAAGCAACAACATGAAAGTGTTGGCACAAACAACATTTTGATGACTTCCCTGTTCTTACAGCCTTACTAGAGGAAGAGCCATTAAAGGGTTCATGAGTAAATCTCATGACATCTGCCTAAAAGATTCACTGCATATAAATGTGTCATTTTGGCCTCTGATTAATCCTACAAGAAGGTTTATCAAACATCCAAAATTGGAAGAGTTCTGATGAGCATGAAGATTGATATTTCTTGTGTAAAGTTTTTTTTAAATGGTGCACAGGTAGTATGAGAGGAAAGGTCACCAGAAACACTAGTATTCATATAAATATTCACAGTACATTTAATGGAAATCCAGTCAAGAACCAGTGTTGGTAAAGAGGAAATACTCCGAAATCAACATCTGGAGATACTTCTGCAAAATGTCGTGGCAATCTGGCCAGTGGTTGTTGAGGTATTTTGGACCAAAGCATTGGCAGAACAGACTAATCAACTGTCATGACGCTGCTACCAGTGGGGCACAATTAGCCAATTACAAATGAGGTTCATACCTGTCCCACTGTCCGATGCAGGGTCCACACGCATTGGCGAGGACGATTCCGCCAACATCACTCAGGATCTTGGCCTGAAAGAGGGAAAACATGAACATTTAAAAAAATAAATCCTTTCCTGCATCTTCAAACACACACGATTGTATAAATGTATTATGTGTAAAAAGAAAAAAACAGGAACAGGAAACGAGCTACCAAAATGCTATGGGTCACTTGCTAAATGTTGGGGAGGTTCTGACTCACATATCCATCTCTCTCGATAGTGGCACGGATCTGCTCAGAGCCAGGGGTGACTGTGAACTGGGCCTTGCACTTCATACCTCTATCCAGAGCCTGCTTGGCCAGAGAGGCCGCCCTGCCCATGTCCTCATAACTCGAGTTGGTGCAGCTGCCGATCAGACCTGCAGGAGACAAAGTTCAATGTTTGTAAGAGGAGAACTGAGAACAAGAAAACTAAAGTAAATGTGTATACAGTTACAGTGGCAGGTTGGAAGTATTCATCTAAATTTGTATATGATATGAGAGGAAAATTGTTGAAGAGGAAAACACACAAAAGACAAGCAAGTCTGTACTTACAAATCTTAATCATCATAATCATATTCTAGTCATTCTGTCAATGATTGGAACTATATTGCAGTCAGTAGTAATATACTTTGGAGGACCGCATGACAGGGCTGTAATGTGACCTCATCATATCTGGTCAACAACACAGTTCGCAGGAACAAAAATAAGAAATATCCAATTTCTCGAAACAAAGCGTTAAAAACATGGACGATTGTAAGATAAGACAGCGGTGTCACAAATACTGACCAACTTTAACCTCCAGGGGCCAGCCGTTCTTCTTAGCTGTCGTTCCGATCTGAGACACGGGGTGAGCCAGGTCAGGGGTGAACGGTCCATTGATGTGAGGCTTCAACTGTGAGAGGAGGGAAACCACGCTTAATGAAGCAATGTCACAATTTGAGTAAATGTTTGTTTATGCTATAATATAGATATACATATATATATATATATACACACACACACACACACACACACACAATAATATTAAAAGAGGAACACTAAAAGCACAATTAAGCTGCCTAATGCACCATTATAACCACATGATACCAAAAACAAGACAAAGTACATGGCTAAATGAGAAGTGGGTGCTGTATTGTATTTTATTTTTTAGTGAACAGCACTTGAAATCTTCTCAGGAAAGCTTTTACTTAACATACCAGCATAACAAAAATGGTAGGTCAGTGATTCTTGGTTTACCGCCCAGTGTCAGTATATAGGTCATTCATCAAGCTAATCAATGTTTTAATTAACAGGTTTCTATGATGACGCTTGTCTTAACGTAGCACGCCCTAATCAGATTATCTAATACATAACACTGTGACTCCTGTGTCCACACACAGTGAGCCCCACATGTTTTATGGTGGTAGGACTTAAATCCATTCTACTTCCTGATTCTAGCTAAGTTTGTATTGTATTCACACTGGAAAAGTGACTAAAAGAATAATATTTAAACATGCCTCATGCATACTAAATACAGTGTTCTGTTGATGGATATTATTCTCTCATAAGGCAATGCACAAAGGAAGTGGAGAAGCTGTTCACAGCTGGAAAATAATTAAAATATTTGGGGGAGGTGGTGAAAGACTGCTCCAGAAAATCTTGGTTGGTTTGGACATCCTAAAGTCTGTTTTGACCATTCCAAAAGTATAGCGAGTTCTTTGCATACTACTGAAGCAGCACCATACCATAACTATTAGTACGACAGTAAAGAATAGTATGTAGGATGGATTTGGACATGCCGACACGACTGATGTTTTGACTCACCTCGCTCAGGTTAATCTCTATGACCTGGTCGTATTCACAGCCATTATCTGGGACCAAGTCATCTTTGAATTGATCAGCCACAGCAGAAATCTCTGAGAGGGGATGAAGAAGGGGACACCGTTGGAGGTAAGACACAGTGAATAAAGACTAAACAGACAAGAGACTAACAGTAGGAGACTGACCTCCACGGCCAGTCTTCTCCATGTACGTCTTCATGCGGTGGTTGTAGGGGAAGATGGACGTGGTGGCTCCAATTTCAGCACCCATGTTACAGATAGTGGCCATTCCTAAAAAAAAAAATAGAGTGTCACTTTACCCTTGGAGTAAAATATACTGCCCCAAGTTTGAAGACATCGAGCAAGATATGGATGTTAGTTTAAGCCGTCTCCTGTCTATGACTTTCGGATGTAAACACAGAGAAGGTCTTCCACCAGCGTTTCAGGTCTCGTATTGTATCTCATCCTTACCAGTGCAGGAGATGGAGTCAACTCCAGGCCCATGATACTCCACAATGGCTCCAGTTCCGCCCTTCACAGTCAGGATGCCAGCCACCTTCAGGATGACATCCTTTGGAGAAGTCCAGCCAGACAAGCTTCCTGTCAGCTTCACTCCAATCACCTGAAGGGAAAAAACAAAAACACACAGGTTTAAACAAAACAAACCGATTAAGTGGTTGAAACTTCTCATGAAATAAAAATTTATATACAAGATTTCAGGTGTTGAGAACTCACATTAGGACACTTGAGCTCCCATGGGATTCCAGCCATGACATCCACGGCATCAGCTCCACCCACTCCAATACAGATGGACCCCAGGCCACCGCCATTGGGAGTGTGGGAGTCGGTACCAATCAGCATCACTCCAGGATAGGCATAGTTCTCCAGGATGATCTGTCCAAATAAAAAGGAACATTCACAGTCAGCCACACATTTTTCCCTTGGGACATACAATTTCCACAGACTGCTATTTGAAATAGACTACTTTCCTGGAAGTGTCCTTTTCTGGAATGATGAGTGTCTCACAGTCTGACACTCATCATTCTGTAAAGTGAAGGTCAAACATCCAAGAGAAACAATATGCGAACACATTTTCCAGTATTAGAAAAGCCATTTACAGCATTGTTATAAAATCAGTGTACTGTACCTGATGGATGATCCCTGATCCGGGTTTCCAGAAGCCTACTCCATATTTGGCAGCAGCAGTGGCAAGAAAGTTGTACACCTCCTCGTTTACTTCCTGTGTTACGGGTGAATGTGGAAGAGTTATAGTCATATATGATACTGGAGTATCCGTGATGGAACCAAAACATAATAAACTTGGCTGCAACACTTAAGCCTGAATCCTGTACTTCAACAGACAATTTGATTAAACTGTCAAAAAACAACAACACTAGGTCTTATGGCATGTTCTGGTTAAAAGTATAATCATTCAATGGGATTGTAACCACACACTGCACTCAGCAGCCACTCTTCCATCACATGTACAGATCCCTTTGGCAGTAAAATTACAACCCTCTGCATGCACAGTGCATTCTCCCGTCACATGTGCAGCCCACACTGCTGCATTGGCTGAATCAAATGACAACATGCTTTCATGATGTAAGTTTAGTTTTTATTACCGGAGTGAATATATTATATTTCTTTATGATATTTCAGTTAAAGTACACAGTTTATAACTTCTCTCTGCTAGTTGTTTGCTAGCTAGCTGTTACAATGTTGGATGAAACTCCTCAATTAGCATGCTAATTGAGGAGTTTCTTAAATTTCTGTAAAACATTTAGTGTACGAATTAGTTGTTTACTTTAAACCCTAGGTTTGCACACAGCCCGCATTGTTGGCTCAAATACTCAAAGTACCTTTCCCCATCAGTTAACTTGCTAGCTAACTACAAGGTACATTTCACACAGTAGGTAATTGACAAATTAAAGGATTTAGTTGGTGAATGAACAGAATATGTCTGCTTAATGGTATGTGAAGGGTTTGTTTACATCTGCATATGACATGGTAAACACAGCCTGGGAAGATAACCCCTATATTACATTTTATTTTATTTCCTGTTTCTTCCCATGGAAAGTTTACACCTTGACAATTCCCAGAATTTTGCAACCCTACTTCTGATGTCAATTTGCAACCGATGACTGTACCATAAAACTATATGTATAATATACTGGGTATAATACTCTATCAATCTGTCCTAACCTTGGCCCTTTGCAGATCCTCCGGCCCTCCGATCTGAGCCTCGATCAGGTGATCACAGTGGATGGTGGAGGGAACCGCCACCCTGGGCAGACCGCTGCTGATGAACTGAAGCATTGCCATCTGAGCAGTAGCATCCTGCATAGCCACGCGGTCTGGACGCAGGCGCAGATAGGTGCGTCCGCGGTCGATATCCTGCCCTGCTGGATCATCCAGGTGACCGTACACAATCTTCTCCGACAGAGTGAGGGGCCTGCTGAGCCTGGTGGCGTGGATTAATGGAAACATTCTTTAAAAACTGTGATGTGCTGGACATGAATTGTAGATACTATAAGCTAAAAACTTGTAATATCTATACAAATGTATTTGAAGTGTTCTTGCAGTGTCCTTCTATCTTGTCTGTTGCAAAGAATCATGGAAAAAGCCCTCAATACCAAAAAGAAACTTATCAGGACAGCAAACACTTTAACTTTTCATATAATAGTCATATGACAGCCACACAAAAGGCTTTTCCTATTCCTGGATTACAGCATGTGTTAAGCTCAGTGAGAGAAAAACACCAGGACGTCTAAAGTTAGCTCCGTGGGCCCGGCTGGGTCTCACAAGTCAACACTGTGATTAACGCTAAGATTAACTGTGAAGCTGTAACAAACACCAGCTATTCCTCGTGAGCCAAACTGTAAATCAAACTCTGTATGTTCATGTGTATTTCTGAGATGGGCAACCGCTGACCTCCTGCGCACGATGTTGATGTTCTCGTGCATCTTCTCATAGTTAATGCTGGAGCCGGGCTCAAAGCGGCTCATGGCCGCCTTGGCCTTGGCGCTGAAGGCCGCGGAGACATGAATACGCCTTGCCCCGGTTCCAAGGGCGAGCTAGACCAGAGGAAACAGAAGACGGTTTTGAGGAATAACACCATAAACAATGTTTTACTGTGCAGTCCACGACTAACACATTCAGTTCTGAGTTACATAATAACTATGAAGGGGAAACGGAGGCAATTAAAACTTGTTGTGCTGTATTGTGAAGACTGAATTTGAATGTCAGGATTTTGTTCATGCTAGTATTGAGTACAGGCTGTTAAAATACTGCCCAAATCTTCCTGCTACAGCAATATCAGACGGTATGAAGCCTTTCAAGATATTTCTTTCAATAACTTAAAAGTCTGCAATGTAAAGCTTTATTAGATAGTTTAATCAGGACACTGCTTCAGGTTTTTGAGTAATTTGCAATAGGTGAGGTCATTTGCCACTACCAGCAAAGCAAGCTATAATAATATCATTATTATACCCATGCCAATGAGTGATAGTAGGCAATACATACCAGATGCTCTTACTATCTGACCCTCAGTGTTGATATTCAGTGGAAAGTCACTGTGCCCAGAAAAAACTGGGTGAAAGTTTATAGAGCTCATATTTCAGTTGGTAGCCTCACCTGCCAGGCTGTTAGTGACTGATACAGTACACTGTTTACTATGTATAAGCACTAGAGGTAACAGGGGAGCACTATTAACTACAAACCAGATCTGTGTGAATAAACCAGCTGCAGTAGAACATTTGCTCAGACGCCCTCACACTGACACACTACTGGGCAGCAGGCTCAGTGTTTCAGACACTTATTTTGAGAATAACAGGTAGCAGGTGGTTCATAAAGAACCTGTTTGAATGCATAGTTTTCATATAATGTCAACTCAATGCAATAATATGCTATCTACCGCGACCCAAATAATAAACTAAACGTGATTTATAGGCGAGACTGAGGACTGTGGCCTTTTACACATTGTCAATTGATTCTCCTTAAATGTAAAAAAAGACAATGTCATCCTCTCATAAATGTTGGCTAAAGGAGTTAAATATGGTAAATCATAAACTCAGACAACTCAACCACGTTACTCTGGCAACCATTTTCGTCTTCTTTCTCCGTAACCTTGCGATCACCTTGCAAGCATCAGTGCACCTAGAGCCGTTCTTAGCCTCTAATCATTTAATGTTGACTAAAGTTGACACTGCTATTAACAATAATACGGTATAATATTGGTTGCTGTAAGGTCGGTAATAGTTTATAACCGTTCGAATGCGTCGCTGTCGTGAGTCAAGCGAGGACACTGTGACCTGTCTCGAGCGGCTCGGTGCGCGCTCTACTCTATTTACCCGTCGTCCGTCAAACTTAAGCAATGGCGGCTTTACTACACGATATAACATAGCTGTTGTCACACATGTACTCGATATCAAGGCATTTACGAACTCTGAAAGAGTAAAATAACGTTTTCTTACCCGCAGCCTAGTGACAGTTAAGCAGTAAGACGCCATTTTGTTCACTGACAAAGATGAATGTGTCGCTCACATGTGACGTAACAGGATGAAGAAGCCCGTTATTTTATCATTGGGTTAAATAATAAATACAAAATATTAAATATAATAAAGCTTGTGTATAAATAAAGCAATGTTTTTTATAATTAAAATAGAATATTGTCAATATCATTAAAATAATAATGTTTATATACGTGTATATATAATAATATGTAATATATAATATTGTGTCCCGCAGGGTTAAAAAGTTCTCTGCATTTGACCCATCCCTATGTAGGGAGCAGTGGGCTGCCAATGACAGGCGCCCGGGGAGCAGGTAGAGGTTCAGTGTTTTGCTCAGGTACACTTCGGCATAGCACACGTAGCTGCCAAGGATCGAACCGCTGACCTCGCGGTTACCGGTTACCCCATAGCCACGGTCGCCCCAAAATACAACGAATCATTGTTATTCTTAGCACCAGTATTAGTAGTAGTTGTAGTAATAACAACTGTTTGACTATTATTCCATAAACGTATTGATGAGACATTAACACCAGTTATATTCCCTTCCAACAGTCTTTCTCTGATTTCTCTATTACGTTTTTACATGACTTATATGTGCCAGTATCCTGATAACGTGGATAAACAGGCAACTAGGCAAAACTTTACTTTATACTCCTACTGAACTTCCTTTCAGAGGAGAATTTAGTAATTTTACCCCACTACATTGAATTTAGTAATTTTACCCCACTACATTTATATATGATATGTCAGTTTTCAGAATTTACCGTCCTACAGAGTGTAGTATTATTTATTTTCTTCAGTAAAGTTCTCAAGACTTACTTAACACCATATTTATAATGTAATATAATAAATAGCATGCTATCACATATAATATGATATCAATATAATGAGTATCTTTTCATAGTTTAATGCAATATTGGACACTAATTGCATAAAAGCATAACATAACCTTGGCTGGAGGACACTGAAGTAAGCAAATGTAAAAAGTATATTTGGGCTTTGTACCATGTGTTCCATTGGTGCGTCATTTCAACCCTATCCTATTTTGATCATTTTCTCTACCTCTAATCCATCACACAATACTTCAAAATACCCTAAAGCACGTCTTATAATTTAACACTCTCATTACCACACGCCATTTAGTGATAAGAACACCATCTCCCACAAGCCCCTGGTGAAAGTCAGGTTTCTTTAGCTGCTGAGTGGACGATGCAGCCCAATAATCTGATGGTCCTCCCCCATCTCAGCCAATAGAGACTCTGTTGCTATCACCACTTGTATTTTTAGCAAATTGTTCAGCACCACAGAAAACTACAAATATCCCTCCGCCAATTAAACTAGAGCCCGCAAGGTAAACATAGAGAAAAACGGCCTCATTTTATGATTTTTTGGCGTCTCTGATTTTCGAGGAAGACTATGAATTGACATCTTGTCTAGAAAGTGACCAGTGAGTGAACAGTTATCTTTTTGTTTTAAGTATTGTTATTGTTGTTGTTTTAAAACCTTATCCGCTGGTTAATAATAATATAGATAACGTGCATGGAGATAACATTAATGGTTTGTTGAGAGGAGAACATAATGCACTAATGCCGTTATATGGAATAATAAAGCAGCAGCTACTATAATATGAAGAAAGTAGTCCCTGCCGTCACGGCCGTGTGGGCGAGTCACCCTGTATAAATACGCCGGGTTGTCAAACAGTAAAGTTTCTCTGGACCCTCCATGCAAACTGTCAGCTGAAGACAAACTGGGAAAGCCTGTGGCCATTTGAGAATTGGGGCAGCAGTTAAGACATTCAACAACAATAAGGTGAAAAATATCTAGTGGTCAGCATCTGAATCACCGACTCGACACATCCGCCTTGAAATCCGAGACAACACAAGGGAATTATAACAAACGCAGGAGTACAAGCGGAGCTAGTGCATCAGTGACGGTAGGTGAGTAATTCAATGTCAGCCGGTGTATGAAATAGGTTAATTATATTTAAATGCACAGGCGTGTTCATTGTCAACAGCATGTTGCTGTGTGTTGATGTCTTCTTGCTTGGAAGAAAATGCTCTGCCTGAAATGACTGACTGCACTGGTTCAGCCATTGATTGAAGACTCCTCTTTTGTTTTCGTCTTAGCCCGTTATGCATTAGCTGAAGTGACCCAGTCTGCTCAGCTGTCATGGGTATTTTCCATTTCATACCGTGTTTGAAGGGGTTGTTTATGCTGAGGAGATGCTCTCCTCTTCAATGCTCAGTTAGCACATACTGGTTCCCCACTTAATTAGCCTTATCCTTTAATTTACAGTGACATTTTGACACAGGTGTCAGCTGAACCAGTGTCCTTTCTGCTCCAGTGCCTTTTGACTTGACATATGGCAGTAATCCCCAGGTAGACCCTGTCCCCTTATTATCATCCGAGCCTGTCATCACACAGGCAAACCTGGAGGATATTTCTCCAATCTCAACCCTCGTCTTGCACATTTACCTCCATTATTTGGCATCTGGTAGATGTGCAACATATTCCCAATTCAAAGAGGTCTATAAACATCAATCTGCTTAAAGTTCTAATGGGAGGAAATTGAAGTATGGGGCCTTTTTGTAACAAAAGAATAAAATCCTGATAACATCATGTGCTGTTGTATTGAGGTTGTATGTGTGTGGGGACCTCTCTGTTCAGCACAGGCCTCTCTATATGTTGTGCTTAACCCTCATTTCTAATCTCTCTTAAGGCCCTTTTGCTTTCATATATCTGCACATTAGCTTGTGCTACTTGTAAGCTCGCCGTGGATGTGCTGCTTAAATAGATCAAACCTGACATGCAGTGGATACTTTGCAGCACACAGTGCCACACATTTGCGGCTCTGATAATGAGTCGATGTAAACAAAAATAGCACTGTAGAGCCTGCCGTTGCTCTGACCTGCAACAACAGGCCTGTAAAAATGTATCTAGCTCCCTTTTTCAAGGATCTGCAGGTGAATAATACAAATATGAGCACAGCAGAGGGGATTTATCATTTATGAACATGAAAGATTGGGGGGGGACTTTTTTTTTAAAATTGAAATTTCAAGCTGTTCTTTACAATTTAGAGCATTCATTGCACTCTCAAAGCAACACATCTACACCTATTAACTGAGCTATTCCTTTAATGTCATTGGATGACATTGGACATCGTGTGTATCCTGCTGTTGCCTCTTTATAATGAGAGAAATGCTGCTGTAGGTAGCTTAGCCCGCGTGTGCACACAATGTTTTTCGTGATGATGGCTCGTGCAGGTGACGGACCTCCTGTGCTCAAAGATCCCATTTTCTACAGTCACTCCCACTCACTTTGAACTCGGGTGGTGGAGAGGAATTTGCACCATAGATGATGCAAAATGGGGCCCTATTTATAGCCCATTCCAACCAACCCCCATCTTTTTCTTCAATGTCACCTTTTTCATGCGAGAGGGGAAATGTAAATCTCGTCTTGAAATGTCCCTCCCACAGCCCTGCGCCCAGCCTGTGCAGCTTTATCTGTAATAACATTAGAATTGTCTTTAATCGGAGGCGTCTTCCTAATCTTAGCCTCCGAAGCCCCATCTGGCAGGGAAGTGAATGTGACTGAATTGTTTGTGTGCGTGTGTGTGTGTATGCCTATGGGGGGAGGGGAGGGGGTTATTGCACGAACTGCATGGTGGGAAATGGTGTTCTGGGAAGTCGACCAACTGCCCTGCCATTTTACACCTTCTTTCTTTGAGAGTCTTGTAGTTTTATTGTTTTGATTATGTTCTTCTTCTAGCATGTCATTTTCCATTCGGTTTGACTGTGCATGGGCGGGGGAATGGACCCTGTGTGACTGTGTGAAAGCATTAAGCAGGAAGCACTCCATGGGATTCAGATTATGAAGGATTTATGAAGCCCACAACACGGCATCTGTTGCATCCGTCAGTAGATCCTGCAGTCGATGAAAGCAAAATATAAAACGCGTATAATTGCTGTGTGTTATTGAATAAAAATAGTCATGGTGTAAGTTAATTTGCTCACTTCTTTGCTCACTTATCACACATCTAACAAATAAACTGTATCTTTGCTATCCTGTCTTAAAAAAAACGAGATTCCTAAAGGCATTCTCAACAAATTGTCCATTTTTTATTTTTATTTGAATGTTTGCCCTCACAGGTCAGCATACAAATCTCTCAATCCAAAGCGTATTAAGCCGTGACACTTCCACTGGTCTCATGCATGCAGACTTGAATATCCCTTGCTTTCATCAGATCAGTGATCTAGCTTTATGGAGGCTTGAGTGTGCCATTCAAATAATTATGTAAATCAATGAAACGTCCCACTTAACTGATACATTTACCAAACCGCTCCACCAAGTTTCTGTCAGTTTATTGTGACCAGAGGTACCTTAATTAGCAGCCTTTCTTTACTGTGATGGAGTCTGTGCGTATTTTTTTTGGTTTTGTTTTAAATTTTTGAAAAATTGCAATAGTTCAAACTGGCAAATAGCATTAATATACAATTTCTGATATATTTTATTGCTGTGTTTAGACGAAAAACAAACGTGTCAATAATATTTGCTTACATGTATATCACCATTAGTTACTGAGAAGGTCTATTTGCTCTGCTTTCTATGTCTATAAAACATAAACATGATTAGTCGTCTACAGCTGGATAGCAGTGTCCTTCCCTCTTTGTTTTTCATCCATCTCCCTTGATCTCTTCCTCTGGTTCCTTCCATGTAAAATGACCGCTTTCTTCTGTTTCCTTCTCCACAGTCGGGACCTGACGACATTGTTGCATATCTGTGAGGACAAAAGACGGCCTGCAACTTGCTGCCCCCGCCTTCAAGGTGCCTTTACCATGGTGACACTAAAAGAATCCTACACGTTACAATAAGCCAGAGGAAGAACTCCTTGTCGCTGTTTCGTTGCCTCTGCGTCATTTCGATCACTTTGCTCTCAGGGCGGTGCTGACCTGGTGCAGCCATGCATCTGGAGGTGAAGGTCGCCCTCAACTTCATCGTGTCCTACCTGTACAACAAGCTGCCTCGGCGTCGAGCTGACTTGTTTGGCGAGGAGCTGGAGAGGATACTGATGTCTCGTTTTGAGGGCCACTGGTACCCTGAAGCACCTCTCAGGGGCTCAGCGTTCCGCTGCATTCACCTGGGAGCGCCGAGGGACCCCGTGGTGGAGTTGGCCGCCAAGAGGAGTGGACTGGACACGGAGGAAGTGCGTGCAAATGTCCCTGCAGAGCTCAGCGTGTGGATTGACCCTTACGAGGTATCCTACCAGATCGGGGAGAAAGGGGCAGTGAAGGTCCTCTACCTGGAGGACCCTCCGGGCCTCGGCTGTGACGGCGAGAGGGCCGAGGGGGTGATCAGAGAGGGCAAAGGAGACGCGGAGGCGGAGGAGGCCAAGAGTCTGGGCTTTAACCCAGACGCTCAGGTGTTCGTGCCAATTGGAAGCCAGGAGTCTCCTGCCCTCATGCCGTCGCTCTCCAGCTCTCCCACCCCTCTGTCTGCCCAGTCCTGCCCCGGGCTCTTCAGTTACCCCAGCTCCAGCACGCCCACTGACCCCGCCACCCACTCCTCGAACACCTCGACCCCTTCTCCGCCCAGCGGCGGGCTGCCCTACCTCTCCGCTCAGCAGCCGCCCTCCACTCTCCCCGCCGCCCGTCCTCAGCCCATCACATTCACCACCGCCAGCTTCGCCGCCACCAAATTCGGCTCGACCAAGATGAAGAAGTGCAGCGGGGCCGGGTCGGCAGCCGGCCCCGGCCCCGGAGCCGCCATAACGCCTACCCAGAGGATGCTCACCCGCTCTCCCACCACCATCTCGGCACCAGAGCTGCTCAAGCACAAGCCCCTGTCTCTCTCCTTGCACTCGCTCGGAGGTCCCATCGCCAGCCAGCTCTCCCCCAACGCCAAAGAGTTTGTCTACCCAGGATCCCCGGGCCCCCTTTACTTTGATGCCGATGCCCAGCCCATGCAGCCACTTGCTAGCCCTTTCCAACCCCCCCACGCTCTCAACACCCATCCGTCCTTTGACCCGTTCTCCAGCCCTCCCCCTGCCCAGAGTGTGGGCATCATTGGCAGCAACGGAGGGATCCCCTACATGGAGAAGCCGCCATTCGTCGAGGGTTTAGGAAGCTACAACCTGCAATATCCTAGCCAGTCCTTCCAGCCCGTCGTGCTGGCCAACTAAGCCTTCATTTGTAACGCTAACAACTGTTGTAGGAGGAGGTGGGTTTGGACATTGATGCTCCAGATCTTTTCAGTTTTTCTAAGAAATTGATACTAATACAAGTTTAGAACTACAAAGATTTAAAATACCCCGTCCACTGAATAATTCATGTGATTGGTTTTGTTCCTCCATTACCCCCCCCCCCCAGCACCCCCCCACCCCTGACCTGTAGTCTGTTGCCGTTACTCATCACGTTCTGTGTGTTTGCTTTGACAGGAATGGGTAGGGTGGGGTGTTCCTTTCTACCTTGAGTGGTTGCCAATCATTTGTTTTTGCATTGAATGTTAATGTGAGGGGCTTTTTCTTTTTTCTTGACTTGTTGTTTAATGGACCCGGCTGTAGTATGGCTCCATTTTGCACTGCACTGTCATGCTGTGAAAAAGGACCTTGCCAAGTCCTGCAGGGAGCGACGGCTGTGGGAAAAGCTCAGCACTTTGCTCTGCAATCTGCTCTGCCCTACTTGCAACAAATACAGAGGTGTGTGTGTGCGTGTGCGTGTGCGTGTGCGCGTGCGCGTGTGCGTGTGTGTGTGTGTGTGTGTGTGTGGTCCTGCTCTGTTATGTTGTGGCTCAGCGTGATGGAGAGACTCATTGTTTGTACGGTGGGCCCGTTCCCCTTGAAAGGCACTCGTGCGCACGCACATTTTGACACTGTTGTTGTTGCCGGGCGTAAATCGGAGGCAGTTTATCGTCAGCTGGAATGTGTACATGACACGAGTTTAAATGGAAGTGAGAGCAGTGGAGGGAGCAGAAAGAGAGCATCGGGGTGTTAAGGCAGTGTGATGTATAAGAATGTGTTGTATCTGTCGTGGGGGGGGGGGGGAAGGTCAGGGAGACCTTGGTGAATGTGAAAAACAAGTAAATCTTTGTATTTTAAGACGACGACGATGCGCTGATACCTCAATCATACAGACTGGGATGCAAGTTATGGTTTCACACATGTATTCAAATGGAGAGACACACATAGAAATATGCGCACAAATGCACAATTCCAGTCAGCAGTGTGTGTGTGTGTGTGAGAAGGTGACGAGGCGTAGTGGATGCAGCAGTTAAGCAGTAGGATTGTGATAAATGGCTTGGTATGACTTTGACTATGAAGGAGAGGTTTTCCTCTGCAGGAAGGGGGGGAAGAGAGGGAGATAAGAGAGAGAAGGGAAGACCGGAGAAAGCGAATAGAGAAGCAGCTCGAGGGTTCTGTTGCCTCTGTGGCTACCAGGCTGTATTGGCTCAGAGAGCGACACTTTGACACCCAGAACACGTTTCTGGTGAGCTTAAATGGTATTGAAGCCAAAGGCTAACACTATTCTCTCCCTCGTCTTGTGATTCTTCAGTGATCTGTGGCTGCCAACAACGGACAAACCAGAATGGTACAGTTACAGGTTGCTCTGTCTCTTTCTTTTTGTTCCCCAGTTATGTGAACAAAGATGCAACGGTGAATGTTCTTTCACTGGTCTGTAGCTTTTATTGGCTGGCTTGTCAGATCTCTGGAAGTCTGCTGTTTTGCTAACAATGGTTTGTTTACCAGCCGTGTCCACGGGATTGTCAGTTAGTCACTGCAGGGAAGGGTAACTCTCAGATGTCCATTTGAGCTGTCCAGCACTTTATTACTGGGCTCCTGAGGCGGTGTGTCGCCCACAGACACGAGCGCTGACACCATTCCTTTGCCCTCTGTTTGGAAATGGCACATTTTTATTCAGCTATCATGAAATGCTTTAGAGATTCAAACGGGAGCTTAATTTCATTCAAGTGCATCAAGCTGGTGAGGAGGCGCAGTTGGTCATGTCCGTTTATTTGAATGTTTTCAAGTCTGTTTTTGTATAAGATGACCCGTGGACCCTTGACTTGTGCTCACGCTGGTTTTGCAATGTGACAGCTTGTCATACGCATGCGAGTTTGTATTTCTTTTTTTTTTTTTCTTTTCAAGGGGAATGAGTGGAGAGGTACACATCGTAAAGGGGAAAGATTTATAGTTTTATGTTTTGTAATTTATTTCCAATATTTCTATATTTTTGTTTTTGCAAAATGATCACATACATTTGTATGAGTAAGACATGACAAGTCCAGGAATATGTATATACAAAGTTCTTATGTTCAGATTCTTTGTTTAGTTTCTTACATGCCGAGGTTATTTTTCCAGAAAATAACATGAATATATGCAAACTGAGACAAAAATAAAAGATGTACAGAATAAAGTATTGAATGTGTATTGTACCTTGTGCAGAATTTGTCTAATAAGACGGGTAAATGTATTTGTTCTTCAAGTTGGATTTGAAGCTTAAGATGTGAATGTTTACAGTGGGTTTGTGTGGGAAAGGATGGCTGATATCACACTTCTTTTCAGAGTTTTCCCAGGGCAGCCTGACGACACTACTCCCATAGGCAGTACATTTAAACCAAAAAACCTTTTCAGTGCAATGTCCATTCCCCCCTTATGTGAATTCACTGCATATTGTGGTCGCCCCGCTTATTTTCCCCCTGAATAAGTGTCCATCACTGGGTTTCGTTGTTTGTTTTTTTAGGGGGGAGGGATTTGAAAAACTATTATAAACCATTTCTCGTCAACAATACTGAATAACTCCCCTGTTTTTTGTCTGTGCTACTAGAGTACCTAAACCCAAATATATATTTTGACCTCCCTCATATAATATCTATATCCCACCTCATTCTTTCTCAGTGGGCTCTCTTCTCCCCCACCAGCCTGGTCCCTTTGGTCCTGATACTATAGCCATATCCCAGACTGTCTTTTGCGTACACGGATGCTCACCCTTCTCCAGTGCAATGTAATGCCATAATTTAAATTACCCTGAAGGATTCAAGGGGTCTCTACCTCTCTGCACCCGGGAATGGGGAAAAAAAAAAGAAATCCAGTATATCTCCTCTTTAGGAAGACAGTGTTAACGGCAGGTTTAAGAAGGATAAAGGAAATGAATGTGCTGTGGATGTGATCTGTTGTTCGTCAACCCTGGTTGAGATGGCCTGTGGAAAATACATGAGGAAACATCTTTTTTTTGTGTGTGTGTTAAAGAGATGTTTAGTCTCATGCATGTCCAAAAAGTCCAAGTGACAACTTTTTAGTTTTTTTTTTTTTTTTTTTCCATATTTGTCAGATTATTCCGAACAAACGAGGTGTGTTGTTAAATTTCCTCTGCGTACGAATCGGGCTCTTGAGGTGAGGGATCTGAGGATGTGAGGCGTTGCTGTAAAAGCTGTTTTGCCCTCGCGTCTTTTTAAGAGCGAATGCTGGTTTGTTTCCCACTTGAAAAGAACACTTTGGTGTTTTTAAACTCGCCACAGATCGACTCTAAACGCAGGCTATTCCACGATCAGGGTTGAACATCAATGAGGAAAAACAAGAATTTTGTATTCTGATGTCCTTTTGCTTATATCGATGTGTGCGTTTTATTTTGCACTTTGGAATATTTCATTGTCATAAAAGAAGTTTATTTTCTATGTAAAAAATTTAACATTTAAGATTAAAATAGATATAATTCAAAGTTCAGATGATGTATAAATATAGTGCTTTCTTTCCTGCCTGTATTTTATTATTTTTCCTATTTTGTATCTGATCTGTACACCCTGTAGATGTGTTATGAATCTTTCACTACTCAAATGCAATGACCTGTTTTCTGTGCTGCCCCCCCCCGGGGATGGGGAGTTACTACTGCAGTTTCTTATTGTATCAGATTCTTTTTTAAGTTTGTAATAAAAAAAAAAACAGATTGGCAAAAATAAGCATAGCAAAGAAGCTGATTGTGTCATCCTCCTTGTTTCTGGGTGTGCAGAGCCATGTGACTAGATGGGAGAAATTATTTTTTCAGCTTGGTCACAGCTCCCTCTCACCTCTTCATGTGTCGTACTTGGATGTGGAACATATTGGAGACCAAACACTATGAAAAGACGATGCAATGTGTTCCTGGGAGAAGCCTCTCATTGAAATGCCGGAGCTCTTATTGCGGTAAACAAACTCCAGTGATGTTTGATCAATAATTCAAAGCGAGCATGAAATTCTCAAATGGTGAGGAGCCAGATTGCTCACCACCCACCTCAGCTGGACCCATCCCAGCAGATATTACTTTAAATGTCATCACCCAGCGCACTTGTCTCTCTCCTTCTGTCCGACCTGTGCTATAGTGTTTATTGTCGGACGCGGCCAGCTGTGAGGCTCGGCTCGCTCGTGTGAACGCGCTGTGCTCTCTGTAGTAACATGCAGTGGTGTGACATTAACATGCATGGCCGGGCTCCTCCTTGGCGCTCCTCCGCGTCTCCATCGCCCACTCGCTGCATCCCATCTCCCTCCCTCCCTCCATCTCGGCTCACATGTTTTCAACTGCATCCCTGTTCTCAATCTCTCTATGTCCATCCCCTTGCAATCTTATTTGCTTCCCCAATCCTCCCTTACCCCCTGCTCTTCCCTCCCTCTCCTCCATCCTTCCAATCACCTGATCCTTTCCTCTGCTTGCCCCCCTCCCCCTCCCCCTCCCAATTCCCAGAGCCCCTCCCTTGCTTCCTCGCTTTCCTTTCTCCAAGCTCACACACCCATCCCGCTGGTCTTTGAGGCTGCTGCTGCTGCTGTTACGCAACGCTGCTCCCCAGTGTGTCGATGTGATCATTACGCAACATCTCCGACTCCTCTGGAATACTGATGAGCAGCAGGGCAGAGGCGATGAAAAAAAAAACAGCAAGGCGCAGGAAAACACAATCGCGACTACGCGTAGAAGACGTGCACATGGGTGGTGGTGCACGTGCACGTGTGCCTCAAGGATGAGGATGAGAAAGACGTCTTCATCCATCCTCCCCTTCTTTTGTTATCTATGGTTTCTTTGTCTCAGCACCAGTGTCTCCCATTCCAGCTGCTGCAGCTGGTTGGCAAGGTCAAGCAAAGAGCCCGCATGTCATTTAATGCCAATTTATTTCAATTGCATGACACAAGATACAGTTAGAACATAGTACTGGAGGTTGCATGTATCCTACACTTGTTTAGGACAGTACAAAAAAACACCAAACAAAAACACGCCTGTCATTGGCAGCCCACTGCTCCCTAAGTGATGGGTCAAATGCAGAGACAAATTTTCCCCTTAAAGGGATCAATATAGTATAATAAATAAAAATTTAAAAAAAATTAAATTGAAATTAAAATCGTGGTTGTAATAGTGCAACAGCTATTACTATCTTGGTCTTTAGGTGGAGACAGACAGCTGCAGACCGAAACTGCTGTTGCTATTATCTTCCTTTCCTATTGGTGGCACAGTTTAGCATGTGTAGAACTGGAGAATTTAGACCGTGCTACACGACAATGAGAGTTACAGCCGGTTCCATGAGGTGCTTTGCATCAAAAAGAAAGAAGAAATTGCTACATACCGTACTATAAACTATAAACCATCTTGACTAAAAGACTCTCTTGACCAGTACCTTTAGTCAGCCTGATGTGGTACACTTTAATTTACTTTAAAAAAAAACAACTAAAAGTTTGCATTCATCAACTACATTGATGTATAAACAGCATAATGTAGCCAAATCCAAGTTTGAATGTCAATGCAACATAAAACACGTTGCTAAGAAATGTCTCCCAGGAAACTGGAACGAACACGGAATCTATCAAGAAAACACAAAATCACAAACGGATCCGGTGTATCTCGATATAGATCGAGCTTCAGTAAATAAACAACAATCCACACAGTGATTAAAAGATGCCGTCTTCAGCCGATGTTCGCCCCAAGATCAAGCACTGGCTTGCACAAGGACGGGTGGCGCTATAATGCTATTAAGTCATCAACACATGACATTACAGCAAAGATGTTATGCTTGGTCTTTTGACAGAGCTGTACAAGAGACCATCAACCTACCCATTTAAAAACAGTTTTCAGTAATGGTTCGCAGACATAAGTACACTTGGTGTAAAATATTTTAAAAATTAAAAAAAAAAAGACAGGTTTACTGGGTTCCATGCATTAGGATCCTAAACTACAGAGGATCTGAACTGGAAGCACAAATGACTTTGGGGCATTTCTATTGAGTACATCATAACAATTTTACACACAACATCATCGAGGAAATAAAACGAGCAGTACGTAACAGAGTATTATTGCCACACTTATTTTCTTTTCAAAAATTACGGCGATTATGAGCAGGAGCCGACCGATGACGAAATGTGCATCAGCCAAAGACACTTGAGATACAGAGTCTCATAACAGTCTGTCATTTACTTACTAATTTAGACACAGACTCGGTTTAGCAAAACAGGAACTCAATTCATCAACTCAGAGTCGAGGTTTCGCCAAATGGAACGAAGCTGCTTTCTTTAAATGTGCTTTCTGCTTCGACTACCGCCACTTTGTAGCCCTGCTAAACTGTCCGCCATTCAAAATAGGAAGTGCTGGATGAGGTAAACAAGAGTGTGCCCTGTCCTTTGTGTGTTCAAACACATGCTGTATGTATATAGAGGGAGGGGGGGAATCCCATAAAACTATATAAATCTGTATTTTTTAAAACAAGCATCCAAAAGCACAGTTTACCCATTGATTTCCCTGCATTGGTTTCATTAGAAGTATTGTTCCTCAAAAGGAAATAGAATTATCCAACATATTGTTGCACATCACAATCAACAGATGCATTATTACCATCAGAATAAATACAGCACTCGTTGACTATTTGGCAAATATGAGGAATAGCATTGGGTTAATAAAGACACAGTCAGAATTCCTGTCTAAGGAAATAAAGACCATGAGACAATCATGTTATTTACAACGTTTAGAAGCAGTCGACTATGGAACTGGCTAAATCTTTTTCTTATATCAATCCAGCCATCACACCATGAGCAGGAAAGTGGCTATAGCGCCCTCCATCTGCAGTGTGCAGTAAAATAAACATCCCTACGCATCAACATACCCCTCCATCGGTGAGGGCCCTGGAGATCATCAACTGCATTCTAAAGTAACCTACAGAAAACTACAACTCTGTCTTCATTTGTAAAATATAGTCATCTTCGAAGGAAAGTGTTTCTTCTGTAAAATTAAAATCTTGTGTGAGGCTCTGGAAACTGATCTGAGGTTAGTAGAAAAGGAAACTAGGTCACAGTAGCTTTAAATTGAAGGTCATGCATGTTTTTCCCCCCTAATAAGCTACTCTGTCTCCTGGGGGTGGAGGTAAACAAGGAAGATACCTGCCACCGTTATAATCTTCACACACACTGTGTTTTTGAAGAAAAAGTGCAAGAATGAATTACTCGCTGATACACGCGGATGACTATGTACAAACGGTTTTTCGTGTGTGCGCAGAGGCGTGCATGTGGGTTACAAGACAGAAGAACTGTGACTGAACCTCATTGCCGACCTGAGGTCTTTGCTTCCTTACTCTGCGAGCTGGAAGTACCACTGTGAATCTGTCTCCCGCATTCATCGGTCCTCTCCTACCCTGGCGTGAGTTAACCAACTCCCTTCCGAGTATTTTAAAAAGGAAGTACAGACACAAACATGAGTGCGACACAAGGAAATGTCAAGGGGGCGGGGCCAGTGTGCACTGTTCTAAATACAGGACTTCTAACTTGACTCATGCTTTGGTCCGCTAAGAAGAAGTGCTGTGCAGTGATAAAAACGGATCTGTGTGGTGTTTAAAAGCCTATAATTCTTTTGTACCAGTCTGCTCTTTTCCTATTTCCTGACTGTCTTGAAACTGTCTCAGGACCGACCAGACTTTTCATGTGTGTGTGTTTGACCACGGGAGTGTCCACAATCGCCCGCCTTCCTCTCTTGAGTGTAGGAGCCAGGCGCTCTCCACAGGCCTTCCTGTGACCACCGCTCCCCATCATGCCTCACTGCCTGCCAGTGTGCATCCAAAACTCCAGCATCGTGTAACAAAACAACATCTGGAGCATGGCACGGCAACTGGAGGTCAGTGAAGACAACAGTGCAAATTTAGAATCCCTTGGTGGTTTGTGTCTGTGTTGAATTCTGCGAGGAAGGGAGTTCTGCTTTATGTCTCATTGATATTTTTTTTTTTTTGGGGG